TAAGCAAAAATAAATCTTTTTTTTTTTTTGCTCTTTAGGGCTGTAAAAACAATAGCACTTATTTTCTCTCATAGGAGCCTCTTCCCACAACTGTCTAAAATTTTTAAAAGGGTGTATTTGTTTACAAAAGTCTTGCAAAAACATTGTTTCTTATTCACTCAAGTTTTTTTCAGTGGCTATTTATTTATTTATTTTGCTGTCCAAGTGGTTTTTTTAAAGCGACTTCAGCCTGGGTAATTTGTTCCAACATCCACGTCAGATTCAGGGACTTTGAAATTGCTATAAATAAGAAAACTCTGTGAATTATGTGTCCAGAAGGAGCCTAAAATAAAATATTTCAAGGCCATGTCTCATGGCCAAAATAAAGTCAGCCATAAACTGAGAGAACAAAGGATTATAAGTACTATACTTTTCCTCTTTCTCTTGGGTCCTTCGGCCACGCCAGGGAGCCTAACCTCTGTCTTTGTTCATTTCAGGAACTTTCTTATCCCTGACCTTGTTGCTGTTTGAGAGGTCTGGGGAGACTCGTGATTTACTGAATGAGAAGCAAGGATACAATTTGTTTTTCCAAAGTTTTTTTAAAGCGATATATTTAGGGCACTTGAGAGGAAAGAATTGGCCAGTCCTTTATTTATCTTCCAAACAGGTGCGGCCTGGACAGTCATAAAAATCAGGTTACTGAAAAAGAATGATTTTGCCAAGTATTAAGTCTCTGTAGTGTGCATTGGCCCTAGGGGATTCTTTCTTACAACAAACAGATAGCTCAAATCTACACCACACATCTCCAGTACAACATGGAAAAGTTTTTTCAGGGGAAAAAAAAAATATCGTGGCATCATTCATTTATAAAACTTCTTTATTCCTCATCTGAACCTTTAACTTGGCCTAAATGAACCATTCAAAGCAGGAGGAAAATAGTTGCCCTTGATAAAATACCTCTGCCCTCTTCTCAAGTTCTTTCCCTTCCTTCCTGCAAATTAACTTTTTCCCAAGTTGAGAGAAAGGTACTATTTTGTATTTAAGATGACTTTGCTAAAGACAAATTTATTTTGGTGTTTGGAATAGGTCATCCAGTCTCATGCAGGTAGAAGCTGAAGGTCAAGGAGTAAACTTGAGTGGGAGGTTTTCCATCACCAGGGTTCCTTTTCTGATGATGATTAAGCCTTGAGCCATGCTGAGAAATGGGCAAGAGGTAATGAACGCTAGCTCCTTTCAGAAAGGTTTGAGGCTTAGCAGAACTCTTTAGTGTGATGAAATCTCTAGGGACCGAGAAAGAAAGATATAGCAAAGGAAACGCTCTGGTGGACTGAAAAAAAGTTATTCTCCATTACCATGTTCCCGCCTATTTCTACTGAAAAAGGCCAAGATAGATTAGATAGATACTGCATGTTGATATAGCAAAAGAATCTGTAGCAACGATGTCATGCCTTTGATTCCTGGAGGTATCAGAACGGCCTCTTAAAATTATGGTCATAAACGGAGTTACGTTTTGCCATACGTTTGAGTTTTTTAACAAAAGATTTCACACGGAAGATGAGGAAACAACAGTGACTTTCCAAGGTTTTTTTGAATGGTACACAAGCACCAAGGAAGAACTTTTGCCTTTTTTCTTGCAAGTTAAATACATAAACTATGCAAGAGCCTGATATATCACTTAACAAACAGTGGAATTTGTGTTAAAGCCTCAATTAGGTATTTTAGAAGAGAATTTTTCTAGGTTCTGTAGATCCTGACAATGAACTATTGACTAAGTATGTTACAGAACCAGTCTTTATGGTTTTAATTATCAGAAACTACAGAGATAAAATTCCAAGGAGACACTTTCATGGGTTTAAGAGCAATGTATAGAATTTTTAAACTGCTAGAGATGCTACCAGCAAAGAAAGGCTATTGGAATTTTCTGATTTCATATTGATAAAATTGCTTTTTTGACAGGAAAAGAGAAATTTCCAGTGAAAGGTAATTTTTTTTTTAACACCGTAGGACCCAGGGGCAATTAGCTATGAGAGCTTTTAAAACAGAGACTGTGTTGAATCCATCTCTAAAATCCCAGCAACTAGCTCATGGTAAGTGCTCAATCACTGACACATAAATAAATGCATCCAAAGCATTTTGGTAGATTCCCACAAATCTCAAGCTTGTTTCCACATCCTCTCTCACTATTAGAATACAATAACTTAAAATTATTAGGTTTCAGGTCTTGCATGCATTCAAAGTGTAAGATAGGTCTCTTATCTAGAATTGATAGTAGAAATAATATAGTTCTCCAAGGAATAAATACACAACTGATAAAGGTGGAGAGGACGGCACTGGGAAGCGGTTGGTAGCTCCTTAGAAATAACGCTTTCTTCCTCCAAAAGGGGTTACCGAGTCATCCAGAATACTTTCCAGGGTCTAAATAAAGATCATTGACTAATTACTTCCACTAAGAGTTCCTCCTTGAGGCCCAAAGTTACATCTATCCTTCGTCCTCCTTTCAGAAGGACCAGCCCTCCCAAGACACAACATGACATTCCCACAATTAGGCCACTGTAGGTTGAGAGGCAGTTGAGAGATACATCATTTGCAACTTCAGGTGCTGAAAACTCAACCTCATTCAAAGAGCTGCCAGGTCCTCCTGGATCCTAGGAGGGCCAAACCAGCCCATGCATTCTATCAAGATTCGTAGCAAGAAGACTCATAGCATGTCCTTCCTAGACATGGTTCTCTCAGTTGGGGAAGAAACAGTTAAAAAAACCCCACAAACCTGTAGGGACAGGAGGGAACTGTCATTTGGGGCTGCTTCTGCAGATAGCTTTAAAATGACTGAAGAATTGGTTTGTTGGCAAGTTTTATTCTTGAGGCTGGCTTTCAGGGGGATGTTTATATGGCACAAAACCAGCCTCAGTAAAAATGAAATCAGTTAAGAGAAGGTAAAAGGATCAGAACCGTTCCTGGCTTCAGAACCGTTCCTGGGTTGCCATAGTCCTTACTCTTCTGATGTAAATAATATTATTAAAATGCAATGTTTTCACCAGGGAAACTCTTCAAGGTGCAGTTTCTTTAAGAATCAGTTCTGCTGGTAAGAAAAACGAAGAAAAATTCCCTGTGCTTCCTCAAAGGATTTTAAATATATCTGTAACCCTCTTTTTATTTCCACTCCCCACCACCCACATTTAAACTAACCAAAGAATCTATGAGTATAAAATTACTGTCCTGGGTGGGGGAACTCCTACACAGAATAACATATCAACAGCGCTTTTATAACAAAAGAATATCATGAGGACTTTTGGTATCTGTGTTAATTTATTTAAAAAATATTTTTTTGGGGCAGGGGGACCTGAAGTTAAAGATATATTTTCCTCTTTGTAGCTCTCAAATGTCATTGTCTTTAAAAGTAGAATGAATCAGACTGAGTTCTCAGACTCAGATAAAGTAAAACTGTATCCATGTAGCAATCAAAATAATTTAATTAGCTTTATAGGTTCTATGGTCTGTCATCTTTCTTTATTAGTTTTTCAGCTTTCTTGTCATTTTCAAGTGGGCTTTAAAATAACACATGCAAATTCATCCCCGAAATGCAGGATAATTAAAACAATATTCTGTCCTCAGTCAGGAAACACAGAATGCATTTCATCCAAATAAGCCTTGAAGAGGTTAGTCAAGTGACAGATCAAATAAAAAGGACACTTAATACACATGTAAATCATTTGCATTACAAATAAGACACTTTAGCAGGGGTTGGACTCACTGCCCGATAGTCAGGATTAAGTTCCCATATTAATGCATGCATTTGGTGTGGTTATTTCGGGTGGGAGACTTCATCCATCAATGCCCTCCACTACTAAGTAAAGCCAACCTGTAAACTGATCACCCCAGCCTGTCAACACTGGTTACTTAATTACATAAAGAAAATATATTTCAAAGACTTTTGATAATTTGGTTAGTATTTCAACTTTCAGTTCAACATCTAGCATCTTTTTCAAGGTTCTTCAAACTAATGGTTAAAAGCAGTTTTAAGAATTAAAATATGAAAAAATGAAATACTATTTTTATGTTTCCTGCTAATCTTTTTCTTTGGCTTTTATTTGCAGAAGTGAAAAATAAAGATTCAGTAAGCACTCAGAAAGACTACTCAGAATGTTAACAGATGTTTCCATTAAAAATTAAACTAAATGTGCTTGTGCTATTAATTTATGTTTTTCATTAGTCTTTTTAGTAATTTCTAATTGCAATTTATTTATGTTAATGAGTAGTTTTAAAATCTTGATTTTTTTATAGAAAGGAGAAATATTTTTTCTAATGAAGAATGTTTTCACATTTCCCGTTTAATTATTTTTAAAACGCTGAATATTATAAAATTATCTACAATAATACTCATTTAAGGAAACAATCCGTCAATGATACTCACAGATACTCTCTTTAACCAGATGTTTGATTTTCTTTCCATGCAGCAATTTAATAATATAATAAAGTTCCCAAAGCACTGATAAAAGCAAAACAAAATGCCTACATCTGTATATTCTAAATGTCTTTCCATGAAAAAAAATAACAAATCTGGAAATAATATCACAAATTCTCTTTGGAAATCTTGATCTAATGTATAAACCATTTAAGAAAGCATTCCAAGCCACTATCCCCCACACAAATTGCAAATACAGGGTGAGGAGTTTGTGATTGAACCTAAGAAAATACACTTGAAAATGCAACCTGCTCACCATGAGCAATTAACATCCTTAAATTACACTTTAAGGATCCCTTATAATCGAATGATAAAATTATAATTAAAAATTTTAGTCAACATCCCTTCGTAAACTATCATTGTCAGATATTTTTCAATTGGTTGTACTTTCCTATATTTTTCCTCTGGTCTTTTTCCTCTCTGGGATCTTTTCCTGAAATCACAGTAATTCTATTATGTTGTAGTCTGTTTAAGAAACTGGATATTTGTTTGAAAATAAATACCAAACTAAGCACACTGTATTAAAAACACAACAAAAAGATTTATGGATGAATCTTACCCTCTTTCTTAGTGGGTTCTGGCATGGCCACAATAAGATGTTATTCTCCAAAGAGTTTGCTCCCCTCCAGTACTAGTTGACAGAAACCCCACGAGCAGTTGAGAGATGGTGCAGGTCAGTGTGACAAGCAGTTGGGGAGAAATCCAATGCTTTTGTACTGCCTCTGAACATCAATCATGTTGGCACCGCCCCTTCTTTAGCCCAAGGATGCTGGAACTTGACAGCTATGAGGACCTTTCCCACATCTGTTGTCTGCACTCTGCTCTCTCGCCTACTGGAAGGAATCTCTTGTTCATCTCATGTGGCTGATGAGAACACCTCTAACTTTCTAAATTCAGCCGCAGCCTCGTGCTCCTTCTTACCTTTTTTTTTTTTTTCCTGTCTCATGGAGGCCTGTGTCGACTGAAGGCAAAATTTTGCCAGATGATGGAAAGTTAAATTAAATTAAAAAATTGTAATATGCTAATTCAGCATATACCTTTATTTTTATTCAGATTATAAAGGAAAATCTCTGTTACTAAGATGATAATTTTATCCTCCCATTAGTTTTTTATTTTTGTCAGCTCTTAATTATTGGATTTAAATTTTTCTTATTTTGTATGAATATATTAATATTAATTTGAAAAGCCAAGTTTCCATGTTGACTATTTTCTCTCGATTTCACCTCTAAGAATAGCAAATGTTTCTATTAAGGAATACTTAGCTTTACCTTTCCTCAAGAAACATCCTTTAAAAAATTACATGGCGTATAAAAGAATGAAGTAATGATACAAACTACAACATGGATGAAGCTTGAGTAGATTATACTAAGTGAAAGAAACCCAACACACGATATCACATATTGTACAATTCCATTTATATGAAATGTCCAGGTTAAACAAATCCATAAATTCAGATAGTTGATTAGTGGTTGCCAGGAGCTGGGAGGAGGTGGAATTGCTAGTGACTGCTAATGGATGTGGAGTTTCTTTTGAGGGAGAATGATGGAAATGTTCTGGAATTAGATAGTGGTGATGGTTGTACAACTTTTCGAGTATATTGAAAACCACTGACTTGGGGCTGGCCGAATGGCTCAGTTGGTTAAGAGCTTGCTAAAGAGTGCGAGCTCTGAGCAACAGAGTCGCCTGTTCGATTCCCACATGGGCCAGTGAGCTGCGCCTGAGCTGGGCTGCCAACAGGGGGCAGGGTGGCTCAGCTGGTGAGAGCAAGTGCTCCTAACAACAAGGTTTCCTGTTCGAGATGGTGGGCTATGCCCACCCACAACTAAAGACTGAACTCAGCACCTTGAGCTGAGCTGCCACCCGGATGGCTCAGGGGATAGAGCGTGAACTCTTAATAATGAGGCTGCCACGCAACTAATTGAACACAGCACCTTGAGCCAAGCGGCGCGACTGGACTTGGAGCTGAGCTTGCTGTGCCCTCTACAACTAAGATTGAAGGACAACAACTTGGCTATTCCCCTTCCCCAATTTCCCAACACTGTTCCCCTTCCCCAATAAAATCTTTAAATCAAACTAACAAGCAAAACCCACTGACTTGGACACTTAAAAGTCTATGGGGGATGGGCAAAGAAAGTCAGACACAACAGTAGCCATTGTTTTGTTTTGTTTCAGGAAGGCAAGCAGACACACACATCTAACTTAAGGTACTGGCAGACAGTGTCATATTTGACCACATTCTCCCAAAACTCTCGTAGCGCTGATGGAGAACTATGAACTACTAAGTGGTCACACTAAAAAAGACACCTTACTTTCTTTGTCCACATGCATGGCACCTCAGGGACTGGGACCAAAATTAGTTTCTATGAAAAGATGACTCCTTGGGTACCTTCACTGATATGTGTTTTCAAGATCATTTTCAAGAGACTTTGATCGATTTGTACTGAACCAGCCATACTGTCTCGTTTAATTTCCCTTGTGGCTGAGAGCACAGCTGGTCAGACTTAGCTCTACCAAACTCTGTGCCAAGCTAACTTTTCATATAAGGGTGGAAACTCAACTTAGAACTCAATAGCATCATGCTTTAGCTATGTGGAGGGAGGGGAAGGACAGCCAGGCAAGGAGGTCAGTGAACATCTACAAAGAAAGCCTTGTCTCAACCACATAGTGCCACTCGTCCCATTGTTTTGCTTTTTAAAAATACTCCTTGGCTCTTAGATGTTGAACATCGGACAGAAAACAGCATATTCTGTAATACAAAGTTAGATGTGCCTTGAAAGGTCAACAAACAAACCTTTTTTATTTTTTTCTGCATCTACCATGAGAGAATCAAT